GCAAACTAAAGCTGTGTACAATCTCAAGCTCTTCACCATCCATCCTGATGCTGCCAATTGGTCCAGTTGTGAGAATCTTTGTCTTTTTGACATTGAGCCTCAATCCATATTGTAGGCTTCAGTCCTTGACACTCTGCAGCAGGCGCTTCAGGTCCTCTTCAGTTTCAGCAAGCAGGGTTGTGTCATCCGCATAACGCAGATTGTTGATAAATCGTCCACCAATCTTGACCTCACATTTCTCCTCATAGAGCCCAGCCTCGCGGATAATCTGTTCTGCATATAGGTTGAAGAGGTATGGAGATAGGATACATCCCTGGCATACGCCCTTCCCAATTTTGAACCATGCAGTGTTCCCTTGCTCTGTTCTGATGACTGCCTCCTGCAGTTTGAAGAAGACAGATTCTGAAGGATGGGATGTTTTGCTTAAAAGTCGGGTATAATCTGTTCGGGCAGTTTTTATTTCCTTAACAATGAAGTGTAAGCTAATTGGCCATTTTGATTTAGTAACAATCAGTTGTGGGCTGGAAGCCTCTTGTTTAAATCAATCAAGACCTGGTGTTAATTGTGTTTGGGGAGAACATTATTCTAAGTGACACAGCACTTGTCTGTCAGTTTGCTGTACCAAGATAACTTGGGGTTGCTATGACACTAAAAGGTATGCCACTGGTATGTCAAATATTATAAGGGTTACCCATGATGGACAAGTTTTGGTGGAGCTCCCTGATTAAGACAGACTAGGAAACAGGATGGGCCATCTACATCTTCAATAACAGGCCTTTAATAACCCTATGAACACTAAAGAAATGAGAATTGTTAGAGTAGTGTAGTGGTAGAACCCAATTTGGAAGTCAGTTGAAATGAGGAAAACAATTACAAATATTGTTTAATAACTATAACACAGAATGTACATAACTTGAAAGTTGGAAAACTTGAAATTGTTAGCAACGAAGTGACATGTATGAACATCAACATATCAGGCATCAGTGAGATGGACCAGTGTTGGACACTTTGAATCAAATAATCATATGGCATATGCTGGAAATGAAAAGTAGAATAAGAATGGTATTGTGTTCATAGTTAAAAAGTCAATTTCAAGTTTTATCCTGAAATACAATGTTGTGAGTGATAGGATTATATCCATATAAATACAAGGAAGGCTGGTTAACACAACTATTATCCAAATATGTGCTCCTGACATCTGGAGCCAAAGAGGAAGAAACTGAGAATTTTTACCAAATCTTGCAGTCTTAAATTGTTAAAATATGCAATTAAGATGCATTAATGATAATTGGTGACTGGAATGCAAAAGTGGGAAAACAGTGAAGGAGGAGAAATAGTAGTTGAAAAATATGGGATTGGTAAAAGATATGAGGCTAAAAATAGAATGAAGGCATTTTGTATTTACAATGCCTTATTCATTGTAAATACCTTTTTTAAAAGACACAAATGAAAACTTTACACATGAATCTCACCTGACAGGCTGCATAGGAATCAGACTGACAACACTTGTGCAAGAAATTTTTGGAGCAGCTCAGTATTGTCAGTCAAAACTAGACTAGAGGTAGACTGTAGGTCAGACCATCATTACTCATATGCAAGTTCAAATTGAGGCTGAAGAAAATTAAAATAAGTACACAGAAACCAAGATGTGGTCTTGAATCAATTTCATCTGAATTTCAAGATCATTTTAGGAATAGGTTTTAGGCATTGAACACCAATTATTACAGACCAAATGAGTAGTGAGAGGATATCAAGGATATTATCCATAAAGAAAGTAAATGTAATTACAAAAAGAGGAAAGAGAGAAAAAAAATCAAAATCAATGTCAGAAGAGACTCTAAAAATTGCACTGGAGCATCAGGATGCAAAAATAAAAACATTCCAAAGTAAAAGAGCTGAACAGAAGATTTCAAAGGGCAGCTAGGGAGAACAAAGCAAAGTATTACAATGTAATGTGCAGAGAGCTGAAATTTGAGAATAAAAAGGAAAGGACTTACTCTGCAGTTTTCAAGGTGAGAGAACTGAAAAACAAATTTAAGCCTCTTATCCCAGTACTGAAAGATGCTATGGGCAATATGTAGAATGACCCAGAAATCATCAAAAGAAGATGGAGGGAATACACAGAGTCACTGTACCAAAAAGAAGTGATTGCCATTGAAAACTTTCAGGTAGTACCATTTGAACAATGGTAATGAAGGAGGAAGTGGAAGCTGCATTGAAGGCATTGGCAAGAAATAAGGTCACAGGATACGATGGGAAACCAACTGACATATTTTAATTAACAGACGCAGCTTTAGATATGGTCAACAGTCTGTCAGGAAATCTGTAGGATAGCTGCCTAACCAATTGGATTTGAAGGGGTCTACAATTGTTCCCATTCTCAAGAAAGGTGATCCAATTGAAAGTTGAAACTATTGAATAACATCATTAATATCACATGCAAGCAAAAGAGTGCTGAAGATCATTCAAAAATGGCTACAACTGTACATAGTTAGGGAAATGCCAGAAGTTCAAGCAGGATATAGAAGAGGCCATACCATCAGAGATATCATTGCTAATGTCAGACGGTTCCTGGTTAAAAGTAAAGAATAACAAAAGAATGTCTTTGTGTGCTTAATTGGCTATGCAAAGGTATTTGACTGTGTGGACCATAACAAGTTGTGGCTGACATTGAGAAGGGGAGTCCCAGAGTACTTAATTGTGCTCATGTGGAACCTATACCTAAACCAGAAGGTAAACAGAGCAAGGGAACACTGCATGATTTAAAATTGACAAGGGAGTGTGTCAGTGTTGTATTCTCTCTCCATACCTATTCAATCTGTATGCTGAGCAAATTATTCAAGAAGTTGGACTCTATGAAGAGGAGTGTGGCATCAGGATTGGAGGGAGACTTATCAATAATCTGCATTATGCAGATGACACAACTTTGCTTACTGGAAGTGAAAAGGACTTGAAGAACTTGTTGCAGAAGCTCAAGGAATGCAGCCTTCGGTATGGATTGCATCTTAATGTTAAGAAAACAAAGATTCTTATCACTGCAACATCATGATGGAGGGAGAGATTAAAACTGTCAACAACTTCATCTTGCTTGGATCCAGAATTGACATCCTTGGTATCAGCAGTCAGGAAATAAGGAGATGTATTGCACTGGGAAAATCTGCAGTTAGGGACCTCTCCAAATTACTGAGGATAATGAGGTCAGTTTGAGGACTAAGGTGTGTCTGATTTGGGCCATAGTCTTTCCAATAACTTGCTATGTATCTGAGAGCTAGACAATGAATAAGGAGGTCTTTGAGCTGTGGTGCTGGAGAAGATCACTGAACATCCCTTGGGTGGCCAAAAGAATAAACGGATATGTCTTGGGAAGGGTATGGCCAGAGTACTCTTTAGAGACAAGAATGATGAGGCTCTGCCTCACATACTTAGGGGATATTGCCTGGAGAGGTTATTCCTTAGAGAAGGACAAGATTCTTGGAAAGGTGGCAGGTGGGTAAAGGAGAGGAAGACCCTCAGTCAGGTGGACTGACAAGGTGACAGCTGCAATGGGCTGTTTTGTGTCAGGAAATGCTAGGATGGTGCAGGATGGAGCAGGATTTAGATCTTTTGTTCATAGGGCGCTATGACTCATACTCAACAGCACTGAACAACAACAACATATATATTTCACATATTAGCTGATACAGGAAGAAGTAGTTAATCTAGTAAATAACTGTTTTTTTCCTAAAAGAAAAAAATTCTTGGATTCTTTGGCAGGTTTGCAACCAATACAATGAAGAACTAAAAAGCTTTAAGCATCATTTTAAAAGACAAAGCAACTAAGGCCTAGAAAGACTAAGAGAATATTAGACTTACAGAAAAGTGATGATGCGCTAACATGAAATGATGTGAAGTCATCCTCAGATGGCATGATTGTACAAATGGAGCGAAATTAACATTTGCAAAATAAATATTACTGGCAAATGTTTTCTCCATTGTTTCTCCACTGTACTTTGTCTCTCAAAATATTTGCTATGTAGGCATTATCAGACCCACTTTAAAGGACTTCACCAAAGTATAAAAAAAAACAATTATGTCAGTTTAAAGATTAAGGGGCACTTGATACAATCCCTGGAACTTTTAATTATTTCCTATGTTCTGGTGGCCTACTGGCAAGAAGTTGCGCTGCAATCCCAAAGGCACGTAGTTCGAGGCCAGCAGTTGCTCCAAGGCAGAAGTATGGGCAGTCTCCTGTACTATTAACTGCCTCTGAAAACCTACTGGAGTGTCAGCTATGGATCGGTTCCAACTCCATGGTACACAACAACAACAACAACATGCATCCAAAAGTTGGAGAGTGAATAAGGATGACAGAAGAATAGTCAATGTCTTTAAACAGTGGGGTCATAGTAGAGTACTGTAAAAAAACCAAACGACAACAACAACAAAACAAACAAAAAACCAACAACCTAACAAGTCTGTCTTAGAAGGAGGGCAAAAAGGTTACTCCTTAGAGGCAAGTATCATGAAACTCCAACTTACATACTTTGAGCATATTGTCAGGAGGGACCACCTAGGAAAAGGACACCTTGCTGGGACAGATGAAGTGCCAGAGAAAGAGAGAAAGTCCTCAATAAAATATTTTGGCACCGCGATGGTAATAATAGGCTCAAGCATATCAGAGATGGTGAGGGTGGTACAGGATGGGGCCAAGTTCAGAGCTGTTGTTCACAGGGTCACTAAGACTGATAGTCGATTGCTGGTACCCAGTAACAATAATTTTAAAAGTAAAGAAACCGAAGCCACTAAAGCTCACAAGACCAGCAGGAGACAAAATCTAGGATTCAGACCTCTGGGCTGCCTACCTGAATAGCTCCCACCGTTTCTCAGAAACCGTGCTGCCTTTTGGAAACTGAAAAGAGAACTGCAGTACTCCAGCTACTGAAAAGGTCCCTTTGTTTCATTTTCTCATTGTTAAGCAGAAGCTGTTCATTTCAGAGGCAAATTATTTTAAGATGACATACCTGTGGTAGAGTCAATGATAAAAAAGGATGACAGGTCTCCAGGAATGAGCTCATATGCCAGTGTTCCGTACACCCCAGAGTCCCTGTCAGTGGCAAGAACCTTGGTGATCTCGGTGCCTGGCTGGGTCTGACTGCTGATGCTCGTCACGTAGGTTGAGGGGTTAAACACAGGTCGGTTATCATTCACATCCTCCAGTTCCACACGGACAAAAGCTTGGGCACTTAGCCCACCCTGTTGGAGAAATGGGCAGAGATTACAAATGAATTTTCGCTGAGGGCTGAAATATGGAGTAACTGGCAAAGATCCTAGAATAGATGTTCAAAGCAACATAATATACTCATTTTGCTTTTAGCCTCAAGATGGGTTAGTGAGTAATAGCATAGAATCTATACTTCACCCCTGTTTTTAAACATTAATGAAATTAACCATTTAAAGCTGCTAAGAGAAACTAATTTCAGAGTTGAGGTCAAATATGTTCAAGAAAAGTCGTCCTCCTGTTCAAAAGCCCAATAAATCACTCTATCCTCAGATAATCTTTAAGTGAACGTTGGTAAATGGTAAGGAAAAAGGGGGTAGGAGATGAAGTTTCAGCTGCAGTAGAGTCATCTGACTCATGGTGGTCCCTTATGTGACAGATTAGAACTGTGGTCCAGTTTTCAGTTGTTGATTTTTCTTTTTTGGATTACCAAGGTTTTCTTCGAAGGCCATTCTGGATGATGTAGTACTTCTAAGCTTTCAGAAAACAGCCAGGTGTGTTAAGTCTCTGCACCATCTAGATGGTATCTTGAGATGGTATCATTTGATAAAAGACTAAGGTACATGTGGCAGGCATAAGAAAATCTTCCAAACAAAGGAAAGAGGAGAGTTTCCGAGCAAGAGTGAGCCTGGTTTGTTCAGTGGCAGCAAAGAAGCTGGGGAGGGTGGGTGGTTGAAGCAGAGCCACGTGGACAAAAGTCAGGTAGACTCCTGTGAGCACCTTCGCTCTTACCTTAACATGAGAAGCCCATCAGAGGGTTCCGAGTAGAGAAGCAGTTTGATTTGATTTAGATTCTAACAGTATCCTGTCACCCTAGCAGCTGTGTTCAGAGCAGACTGCAAGGCAGTAAGAGTGAAGGAGAGGGAACAGTTAGGAGACAGTAGCACCCTTATGATGACCAGGCCTGGCATGGACCAGTAGTGATGAATGTGGTGATGTTTTTCCATGGTGTTGGGCCAATTCATATTGACAACAGCTCCATGTAACAGAGAAGAATTGATCTATCGGGTGGTGTGGTGGATGATGTGTAATGATGTTCTGCTAACCTAAATAGGCCAGTGGTTTGAACCTACTATCTTCTCCAATCGAAGAAGACTGGCAGTTTCCACTAACAAAGATTTAGTGCCTCAGAAAGCAGATAGAGGATAGAGGGTTGATATGAGTTGAACTTGACAGCAGAAGGATTATTGTTGTTTGTGTTCCTGGAGGTGGGGCAGGCAGGGAATGTGGTAGAAACTGTATGGGAGGCGATCCCCACCCAGGCCTTTCTCCTTCTGAGCTGCTAGTGAACTCACACCTAGGTCCTAGTGCCCAACCACTACACACCAGGGAAGGCAGGCTGTTGCTGTCAGCTGTTGAATTTCTTCTGATTCAAAATGACCTTATTGTATAGAGAGAAACGCCCCCTAGGGCTCCCTAGGCTGTGATTTTTAGAAAAGTAAATCACCAGGTATTTTTCCCCCCATGGAATTTCTAGGAGTTGCAGTCCACCATCCTTCTATTAAGCAGTTGAAGACTTAATAAGTGCATCTCTAGAACAGAGAAAGCACTTATCCTAAATGCTGGGACCATGTTTGTTTTGGAATTCTGTATTCTTTCTTTTTCAGGTGTTAGAAAGATAATGTATAAATTAGTGGAGAGAGGATCTAATACCGGCTGTATTGTGTTACTGTCTTCTGAAAACAAGAATGAAGGAAAATAAAATAACGGAAAATAATCCTCGGCAATTTTCATTGTTCTAAAGTAAAGCATATGTTTTACTTTAAAGCACTTTAAAGCACAATTTTCCACTTCTATCTGGTACATTTTGACACTTTCATCTTTGACAAAAGTCCTTGGTAAGTCACAACAGCCTGCATTTTCTCACTTTTCCACTCCTGGAGGGGTTTTTTTTGGGGGGGGGGGGAGGCGGGGTGGTGGTGGTGACTTTTTTGGTTTGGGTTTGTTTTTCTTTTAATTCTAGGAGGAGACAGTGGACAAAGGCAGGGGGAAGATGGACAGTGAAGAAGGGAGCTTGGCCACAGACAAAGGAGGTGCTATGCTTGGTGAATATGTAGAAGTACTTGCCCAGGGAAGAGGGAGGGCGAGACAGAGAGCATTCCATGAGTAAGATTAATAGAAAGCCAGGAAACAACTTTTATCCTCTGAGGTACCATGGGCGCTGGGCTTTTGGAAGCGGAAGGAAGGAAGGAAGGAAGGAAGGGAGGGAGGGAGGGAGGGAGGGAAGGAAGGAAGGAAGGAAGGAAGGAAACAGAATGAGGAGGGGAGAGAAGAGGAAGTATATCTTTAGGAATAGTGCGATTTTCCAAATTCTAAGTTGAATTAATCCTCATGATTACCCCTCAGTAAGCACGTTGTACTATGAGGGCTTGCATGCTGCCATGATGCTGGAAGAGACACTACTGGTACTTCAAATACTAGCAGGGTCACTCATGATAGATAGGTTTCTGTGGACTTTTCAAATTAGGACAGACGAGGAAGAAAATATTACAAATATACTTCTGAAAATCAGTTCATGAAAACCATATGGATCACAACAGAATACACTTGTATGCAATGCTGCAAGAGGACCCCTTAGGTTGAACAGCACTAGATGTCATTGCTATGATAATAAGTTCAAAAGTGTCAGTATTTCCAAGTCTTCCACTCAGAACTGGGAAATGCTTCATTCTGCAATGAATAAAGAGGGCTGAGTCAAATACAATTCAATGGCAATCAGAGCACAGCTGAATTAAAACACCAGGGCAATAAGGTCAAACAAAGGCAAATCACTCCCATCAAATCAATTTTGACTCATAACTGAAATGCAGTCAGGTTTCCAAGGCTGTAAACCATAATAGGAGATGGCCTGTCTTCCTCTGAAGATGAGTCACAAGTGAATTTGAACTGCTTGAAGAGTTCAACTTTGGTTAGCAGCACAACTTAACTAAGGATTATGCATCAGAGCACCCCCAGGCCCATACCAGTTACCAATTAGGGCAGGAATGGCTACCATTGCAGGGGGAGAAGAAACCAAAACCCTATAGGAGTTCAATTGAGCCCATCTGCTTAGGGTGCAATCTGGCAGCAGATCTAAAAAATGTGTTAAGTCTCCCTCAAAGAATGAACTGCAGACTGAATAGGAACCAAAAGAAAATAACTCCATTACATCTGAGGTAGAGACTACTTTTCCTTCAATGTGCCTTCCTTCTCGTCTTTGTCTTCCCTATACCTCCTTACCCTGTTCTTTTCTGTCTCTCAAATTCAGAAGTCATTTAAGTGGGAAAGCAAGTAAGTGAAAACAGAGGAAGTGTGAAGAAAGGGATATCACTTGTTTTGGTAGAACAAAGGGATATCGCTCTTTCTGATTCGTTTTAAAAACAGAGATCATAAATCCTAGTAGTCCACAAAAATCTTAAAATCAGCATCAGTGGTACCAAAAAGAAGAAAAACATCAGATGGAAAAGGGAAAATCTTCCTGTCACAGAATAATGCTTTCTTTTTGCAGGAGAAATATTCTACATATCTGCTTTCCATTTTTTAAAATAAATCCATGTTAATGTTTTTAAAATTCGTTGCCATTGTTTTTGATGTGAGGCTGAGTAAAGTAACCCTGTCCTAGCCTCTGGCATCTTCATCATCTCTGACATACTTGAGAGTACTGCTACAGTCACTGTGGCGATCCATCTCATTGAGGGTCTTCCTCTCCACCTTTCCAAGAATGATGTCACTTTCCAAAGAATATCCTTTTCTAGCAACACACTCAAAATATATGATTCAAAACTTTGTCACCCTTGCTTCCAAGGAGCACTTGGGTTTGTTCATAGGATACTCAGTACTCTGCTCCAACACCCAGTTCAAAGGCATCAATAATTCTTCTGTCATCCTTATTCACTGTTCATCTCTCAGATATGTAGCAAGTGACTATGGCCTGAATCAGGTGCACTTCAGTCTTCAAACTGACATCACTGTTCATCAGGACTGCAGATTTGCCCAGTGCAATACGTCTCCTGATCTCCCGGATGTTGATTATGGATCCAAGTAACATGTAAATGTTGACAATTTCAATCTTTTCTCCATTTAGCCTGATGTTAGTTCTCAGTCCAGTGGTGAGGATTCTTGTCTTCTCTATGTTGAGATGTAATCCATATTGAAGGCAGAAGTTTTGATCTTCTGGAGCTAGTGTTTCCAGTCCTCTTCACTTTCTGCAAGTAATGGTATGTCAACTGCCAAGAACAGCTTTTTCACAAGTCTTCCTCCAAGACTAATGGTACCTTCTTCCTCACAGAATCCAGCTTCTCAAATGATCTGTGCAGCATGAAGTCTGAATAGATATGAGGAAAGGATATGATCTTCACATGCATCTTTCCTGATTTTAAACCATGTAGTATTCCCTTGCTCTGAATGGACAGAAGTTTTTCTGTCTAGGTAAAGGTTTCACATGAGCAAAATCAGGTGTTCTGGGATTCTCATTCTTCTCAATGCTAGCCATAGTTTATGATTCACATAGTCAAATGCCTTTGCATAGTCATTAAAAAAAATTAGATATCCTTGTGATATTCTCTGGTTTCAGCCAGGATCCATTTGACATCAGCAATAATATCCTTGTGGCCAAGATCTCTTTTGAACTTACATTGAACTCCCGGCAGCTCTCTGTCAATGTCTAGCCTTTTTTGGATGATTTTCAGCAATATTTTGCTTGCATGTGATATTAATCTTGTCCAGTAATTTCCATATTTTGTTGGATTGCCTTCTTTGGAATAAGAATATGGCTCTCTTTGGCTAGACAGCTGTCTTCCAAATTTCCTGGCATATTTCTTTTAAAAAAAAAATCTATCTTCTTCACTAATTTTAAAAAAAAATAAAAATCCTAGCATAGAGTCGTAAGCCCATCCAGAGCTACATCTGTTCGCTGAAGCATGTTCATTGATATCCCATTGATTCCTGGGGCCTTATTTTTGCCAAAACCTTCAGTGCAATTTTCTTTATTACCATT